TGGTACTCTGCTCTCCTCTGTGATCTTCCCACTCATTTGAAAGGTAGCCAGAGTTTTGATTTTACAGTCTGATATGGGAATATTAATGACCCTGGGGGGAACCCAGACGCCAAAGTAAACAGATCTAAGCAGATCTCTAAGGCTTCAGACAATTTCACTGGTGCAATTATCCGAGTGCATGGAGATAAATCCTACTTTCCACGGTGGACATGGAAGGGGTTGACATTTAGGCATGGACTAGTTTCCCCCACTCCCCCTGAAACCATATTTGAAGCCCAACAATTCCTGTAGGCAGAGTCATTTGATGAAGATTTAGACTAGCGGCCATGACTGTGAAGCTCAGAGTGGAAGGAACTTAGGAAGTCCTTGACTCCGTTGGAATTTCACAAGGGCTGTAAGACCACACTCCTTAAGAGGGCTTTGAAGTCCTCTAATACTGGAGAATTTCTGGAACTCAGGACTAGTGGGATTTTTTTTTTAGGGCCTGGAGCCTGGCCCCTTATTAGATTTTGTACTGGGTTTATGGATAGCTTAACGGCACTGTTCGTACTTTGATTTTTATGGAGGGTCCGATTGGGTTTATTTTGTTACCTGCCTTAGGAGAAAGGCAAACCTCCACATATTTTAACTAAACTCCTGTTCTTATTATAAATAGACAAGTTGTACCGTCTGTAGCACCCAATCCCTCAAAGCCCAAGCTAGGGTTGCCAACCTTTAGGTGGAGCCTGGATATCTCTCAGAATTACAGCTCATCTCCTGACTACAGAAATCAGGTCCCCTGGAGAAAATGGCTGCTTGAAGGGTGGACAGTATGGCATTATGCCCTTCTGAGGTCCCTCCTCTTCCCAAACCCCACCCTGTCTGGGATGCAGCCCCATACCTCTAGGAATTTCCCAACTCATAGTTGGCAAACCCTAGCTCAAACATTTGTCTAGAACTGGTGAGGACATGTGTCATCATTCTGAGAGATTTTTAGAGAACATTTTGGTTACCTTGGAACTTCAGACTCCTGTAATGTTTTCCTTCCAGAGTTTAAAAGGAGGTAAGTGTAAATCAGCTGCCTCACTGAGCCTGTGGGCACTTTATGAATTTTGAGAATGAGTAGTGGGCACCACCACCACAAAATGGCTTCCTTGAGTAACTGAAGCATTCACAAAATGGCTGACACAGGGGCTGCATTGAATCACAAACGTTTGGGGCATTCCACAGAATGTGGAAATATCCTTCTGAAGTGTCTCCTACTCCAGTGAGTTAGCACAAAAAAAGAATTAATTGACATTCAAAACAAAACCTCACCAGACTAAAAAGTCTATCAGATTACGAGACATCATTTGAAGCCAACATTAAAAGAAAGTTACTGAGACTGAATTTGTGTGGTGTATTGTTAATGTTAAAACAGAACTAGGAAAACCTGAGTTCAAGTACCCGCTTAACAGTGAAGCTCACTTGGTGATCTTGAGCCAGCCACTGTCTTTCAACCTAATCTATTTTGCAAGGTTGTAGTAAGGAGAACATATGAGTCTGGGGGACCAACCTGTGCTTCTTGCAAGAAAGGTGGCATGAAAATCAGATACATGAAAATACTAGATCAAGATGGGTAGTTGCATTAGTCTGTCTATAGGAGTAGAAAAGAGTAAGAGTCCAGTAGCATCTTAAAGTCTAACAAAATATGTGGCAGGGTACAAGCTTTCCTGAGTCACTGCTCACTTTTTCGGACACAGCTAGAATGGGAGTCCATCTGTCCTAAAATTTGGAAAGTGGAGTGAGTAATGCTGGAAAGTGGAAAGAGTAATGCTGAATGACATTAGCTGTACACAGGTCCATAGCCAGGATTTTGTGGTTTGTGGGGCAATTTTTTTCCGGTGGGGCTGAAGTTCTCAGTGCAGAAAGAAAAGCCAGAATTCTGAGGACTGTGATTCAGCTACTGTTGAATCAAGGCTTTTAAAATCAAAGCATAGAGGCTTCTGCAGATCGTAGCCCCAGAGTATGACAATAGCAGGCTGGAGGGTGTGTGTGTGTGTGTGTGAAAGAATACATTTTCTGTTAGATGGCACTAGAAATATTTGTATGGGTTTGGCCAGTAAACTCACTCCAATTTGTATAAAAATGCATAAAACTTTATTTACAAAAACGAAGGACAAACAACACATAATTAGGAAAAAGAATGTTTACAGTTCAGTAAGGAATGCAAACCAAAACAAAAAACCTAGCTGGCTATTCTACTCACTACTTTTCCTATCAGGCATGTAGCTCTGGCACCTCAACTGACATTCCTGATGAGCAGAGTCTCTGGAAGCACAGCAGCAGGGTAGAAGTTAAAGAGAGCTTCAAGGAAGTTTCTTCTCTCTCTGAGTCTTCTCATGCTGTCTATTCTACATCGGTGTTCTTAAATATTTAGCCTATAGAAAGCTGTTACCAGGATAGATCTCTAAATTGTGAGCTGTCAACCACTTTAGGTGACAGTTCTTAACTGCTGCAAGTTAATCACTTCTGCCAGCTTAAGCAACAGGTCTGATAACAAGCTGGCAGGTGGGGGTGATGACTTCTACAGTCAAGAAAGCTAACAGGCAGAAAAACTCTCTTAAAGGAGACCAGTTTCTTGCCACAGAGTTAGAAGGGATCCTAGAGGTCACCTACTCCAATCCCCTTGCTCAATGCAGGAACTAGTTAACTACAGCACCCCACTGTGCTTAAAGGAGCACACACGTTTAAAAATGTTTTAAATGATTGAAAAAAAGCATTTACAGGAGAAATTCTTGTGGGGCTATGCCCTTAAGAAAGGGAGCAGAAAGCCCCACCATAGCTACAGGCCTGGCTGTACATACACACCTAATGTCATTCAGCAGCTGAAGTCACTCCACTTTCCAAAAAATAGGACAGATTTAAGCAACAGGTCTGATAACAAGCTGGCAGGTGGGGGTGATGACTTCTACAGTCAAGAAAGCTAACAGGCAGAAAAACTCTCTTAAAGGAGACCAGTTTCTTGCCACAGAGTTAGAAGGGATCCTAGAGGTCACCTACTCCAATTCCCTTGCTCAATGCAGGAATTGGTCAACTACAGCACCCCACTGTGCTTAAAGGAGCACACACGTTTAAAAATGTTTTAAATGATTGGAAAAAAGCATTTACAGGAGAATTTCTTGTGGGGCTAAGCCTTTAAGAAAGGGGGCTGAGCCCCCCAAAACCCCACCATAGCTACAGGCCTGTGTACATACACAGTTAATGTCATTCAGCATCTGAAGTCACTCCGCTTTCCAATAAATAGGACAGATGGACTCCCCTTCTAGCTGTATCTGAAGAAGAGAGCAGTGACTCATGAAACCTCATACCCTGCCACATATTTTGTTAGTCTTTAAGAAGAAAATACTAATTAGATCAAGCTCTTACAATTACAGCGTAACATTTTGGGTTTGTATCTTCATTTTGCCACATGCTTTGGGGAGAGATATACCTAAAACAGATCTGCCCCCAAAGCTTTGGGTTGTATTTTGCTCCAGATGGCATCAGACAGGTGAGATGGCTGCGAGAAATGACACCGCAGTGACAGAGTTCATTTTGCTGGGACTCACCGACCATCCTCAGACGAAGCGCCTGCTTTTTGCTCTCTGCCTAGCAGCCTACATGCTCACCCTCTGTGGGAACCTGACCATTTTGGTGCTGATCCAGGAGGACTCCCGCCTCCACACCCCTATGTACTTCTTTGTGTCCCACCTGTCTCTCATCGACATCTGCTACACCACCAGCAGCCTGCCCCAGATGCTGACCAACCTGCTTTCGGATCATGGCACCATCTCCTTTGCGGGTTGCGTGGGACAGCTTTACGTTAATGTCTCCATGGGCGTGGCAGAGTGCTTCCTGCTAGCGGTGATGGCCTATGACCGCTATGTGGCGGTGTGTCACCCTCTGCACTACGCAGCAACCATGGAGCCAGGTCTCTGCTCTCGCCTGGCGGGCACATGTTGGGTCAGTGGTTTCCTGAACGCCGTGGTACTGACAACGGTCACCTTCTTCTTGCCCTACTGTGGGCCTAACCAGATAAACCATTTCTTCTGCGAGGCTCCAGCTGTGCTCCAGCTCGCCTGTGCCGACACAGAATCCACCGAGGCCGTCATCTACGCAGCTGGAGTGATCATCCTCATGATCCCTTTTGCCCTCATCCTAGCTTCCTACCTCCGCATCCTGGCCTCTGTGCTCCACACAAGGTCGGCCACCAGCCGCCGCAGAGCGTTCTCTACCTGTGGCTCACACCTGGCCGTGGTCTCCCTCTATTACGGCACTATCAGCTTCATGTACATGCGGCCCCGCTCCAGCCACTCGCCGGAACATGACAAGAAGGTCTCGGTGCTTTATGCTGTGGTCACACCAATGCTCAACCCGATGATATACAGTCTGAGGAACAAAGAAGTCAAAGGGGCCATGCTTAAAGTCTTGGGGAAAACATCAACAGAGGGGGGTTAAAGAGAGACATGCCTTTTGTGAGGCTCAAGGGGAGGATAACAGCCTGCAGATACTACCTTGAGCTCTTAGGTAAAGGTAAAGGTTCCCTTGCTCGAAAGCCAGTCGAGTCCGACTCTAGGGTTGCGGTGCTCATCTCCGTTTCAAAGTCGAAGAGCCAGCGAAGACGTTTCCGTGGTCATGTGGCCGGCATGACTAACACCAAGGTGCACGGAACGCTGTTACCTTCCCACCGAAGTGGTACCTATTTATCTACTTGCAATTTCTTGCTTTCGAACTGCTAGGTTGGCAGGAGCTGGAACTAGAAACGGGAGCTCACTCCATTATGCGGCACACTCGGGTCTTGAACCTTGAGCTCTTAAAAGGATATAAATAAATTAAATAATCATTCACCACTCACCTCACTGGCACAGTTACCTGTTTAGAAGGCTGTTGACATTTCCTGGTCTCTCCTTCAGGACTGGAGTGATGGATTTCAGCTTGCATCAAATTGTTTTTTATGACTGGCAGAAGTAGCAGGCTGCTTTCTCCCATACTCCTAGATGAGTTAAGTTGATTACTGCAGTATTGGGTTAGGAATGTCAGTCTTCAGGTGGGACCTGGGGATCCCTCTGGATCAGTTCCCCTGGTGAAAATGGGTGGACTCTGTGGCACTGTACCCCACTGAGGTCCCTGTCCTCTCCAGGCTCCATCTCCAAATCTCCAGGAGTTTCCCAACCTGGATCTGGCAACCCTACCCACCCCATTCCCCACCCCAGTGGCCAGGAGGGACCTGGCAGCCCTACACTGGTTTTAGACATTCATGAGCCTCACTGTACATTATACCGTTCTCAGGTCGCATCTGGGTCCTCCGCAAAGGCTTTCGAACAGATGCAGGTCAGGATGGAGTAGAAATGGGCAGTTGTCCTGGTTTATAACGGACCAGTCTTGCGGGTCAGAGGGAGAGTATTTGCTGCGTATGTAGAAGGTTCAGCCCCCAGCATCTCCACTGGAAAGGACTGAGTAGGAAACACTGCAAATGGCAGTTTGGTGTAGCGGTGAAGTGCACGGACTCTAATCTGGGAGAACCGAGTTTGATTCTCCACTCCTCCACTTGCACCTGGCTGGATGACCTTGGGCAAGCCGTAGTTCTGATAAGGGCTGTTCTTGAAAAACAGCAGTTTCTGTCAAGAGCTCTCTCAGCCCCACCTACCTCACAGGGTGTCTGTTGTGGGGAGGGGAAGGGGAGTTTGTAAGCCGCTCTGAGACACCTTTGGGTGGTGAAGGGCGGGGTATAAATCCAATCTCTTCTCTTCTCCTCCTTTTGAGACCCTGGAGAGCTGCTGCGAGTTGCTGATAGACCTATGGTTTCACAGATTAAAAGGCAACTTTCTGTGTTTCGGAACATCTAGTATGACTAAAGCTGGGAAATGTTTTCCCTTGAATACTCGTCCAAATATATTTGGGAGTGAGACCTACCGGATGCAGGGTATTTTTATCATAAAAAGTGCGTGGGGTGGGGGAAGAATTCCACCGCAGCCTTGTGAAAACCCTCTCCCTCAGTAAAGTGCTCTTTCTACACTACCATTTTCTTCACTCTGTGGACACCCCAGTCTCTTTTCTCCCAGCCTCCCCTCATGCATCTTTCAGTGTATGCAAAATCCTTCCCTAAAAGGCTCTTTTGACTATACTTCACTCCACAAAATGTAGTTCAGAATGCCACGGTGATGTGATGCCTGGAGAGGGGAACGCTTCAGAAATCGAGGTCTGATTCTTGCTTCTCCTAATTCCTAAGACATGGGTCCTTCCACCTGTCTTGTGACTCAAAACTGCCCCTTTAGATGCTCCTGTCGACTCTGTATGCCACACTGCCTGCTCCAAACACCTAAAAGTGTGCATTGTTATTTCATATTAAAAGATATGTATCATAGCACTGTTTTATTGTGTTAGTTTTATTTTTAACTAAAGGTTGAAAGCATCTCTTTCTATGATATTCAGGGGCCTTTTTCAATCCATTCCTTACTTCCCACCTATGCTGGTCAAACTTCTTTTTAAAAAGGACTGATTGAACTCAGGGGGACCAGCTTTTGTGTAAAATCTGCACATGACTAGACTGCCGTGCTACTAATCCCTGACTCTGCAGGGTCTCAGGGCACTTATGACACTGCTTGGATTCAGGAGATAGGCATCCAACATGCTTTATGTCTTCGTTAAATGACCCAGTGTGGTATAGTGGTTAGAGTGGCAGGCTAGGTTCTGGGAAATCCAGGTTTGAATGCCCACTCTGCCATGGGAGCTCACTGGGTGACTTTGCACCAGTCACTGTTTCTCAGACTGACCTACCTCAGAGGGTTGTTGTTGTGAGGGTAAAATGGAGGAGGGGGGAATGATGTTGTAAACTGCTTTGGATCTCCATTGTGCAGATCATCGGAGTATAAACAATAAATGAAAATATTGAAATAAAAAATGCAAGGTACACATTGTACATGTGGGAGACGTTTTGTTCATTCATTGAGAGCCAGTTTGGTGTAGTGGTTAAAAGCACAGACTCTAATCTGGGAGAACCGGGTTTGATTCCCCACTCGTCCACATGCAGCTGCTGGTGTGACCTTGAGTCAGTCACAAGTTCTTTCAGCGCTGTTCTCTCAGGAGCAGTCCTCAAGAGAGCTCTCTCAGCCCCACCTACCTCACAGGGTGTCTGTTGTGGGGAGGGGAAGGGAAAGGAAAAAGGAGAACCGGGTTTGATTCCCCACTCGTCCACATGCAGCTGCTGGTGTGACCTTGTGTCAGACAAAAACTGGAAAAAAGGGGGGAGACTCAACCCAGGATATGACTACGAACCAAAAAGGGCTAAGCTAAACCATATATATAAAAGTACAAATATTTATTAAGGTGTACACATGTTAAAGAGCTCTCTGAGCCCCACCTACCTCACAGGGTGTCTGTTGTGGGGAGGGGAAGGGAAAGGAGATTGTAAACTGCTCTGAAACTCCTTCGGGTAATGAAAGGCAGGATATAAATCCAATCTCTTCTCTTCTGTTCCTCTTCTCATAGGGTTGCCATAAGTTAGAGGTGATTTGATGGCACTTCACACACACACACTTAGCACACCTTCTATATGCTTGTCATTATCTTTAACATAATGAATAAGAAAAACCCTGCTGGATCAGACCAGTGGCCTACTGAAGCTGGCATTAGTGGTCAACCAAATAACTGTTAACAAGCAGGGAATGGATGCCAAAACTTTCCTTTTCTCTCCCCCCCCCCCGAAACTGGCATTCCAAGGTACACTGCCTTGGAACATGGAGGTTCCATATCACCATCACTGATGTCTCTGATCTTAATTAGGGTTGCCAACAAGCCTGGAGAAAAATGTCCTGTCCCTTTAATAGAGGCTTAATGTGTGAAAATTTGCAGCTGAAGCTTTTCATGGCATGGAGCTACAATAGCATCACCAGGGAAATAATACCCAGAAAGCCTCAGTTAAAGAGACAGGACATTTCTTTCCTCCAGGCAGTTCCCACCCTGTCCGTGATGAAAAATATCAGGATTCCGGTGACTTTCAAAGCTGCCTGATGTGCTGATAATTTAGCATGGACGCTTTGCCTGGCATAGAGGAAAAACGACGGGAAATCAGCTGCATTTCTGTCTGCAAGGCAGCTCTTAAAGGAACAGAGTCCATCCGTGATGACTGGCGGCCTTAATGGCAAATAATGGAATAGAAAATACAATGACAAGAAAGACCCACAAGAGGGCATCATAACATAGGAAGTGGGAAAAGGGAGGCTAGGTTTGCATTGGTGGTGTTTTCGGGTCGGCAGCCTGCGATTAGGCGGAGGTGGGGGGGCAGTGCAAGTATTCAGTCAACGCGTGTAGTGAGGTCGTGTGAAGGGTATAGTACTGAGGAGGATGGTGGGGAAGAGAGGCTACTGTGGGGTGCAGCAGGTTCTGAGCTAGAAATGGAAGGAAATGGAGAAAAACAGAGCCCTTTTCAGAAGATACAAAAGTGGCTTCCCTAGTAATAGTTTGAGATGACCCAGATAACGATTGCACTGGGGTTTTTTTTGGGGGGGTGCGGAAGGACCCCGCTTCCTGTGCCTCTCATAGACTCCTGAACTCATGTCTCGTTTCCATTGGCAATAGCAAAGCAGGTCAGATCTCAGCAAGAGAAAACCAATGGGTTCATACCTGAGCTAGAAACAGCCAGGTGTCAATCCTCACTGGTGACTTTGGGCCCCTCTGTCCGTCTCTCTGTGCATAGCCTACCTCACAGGGTTATTGTTAGTTTCCAATGGAGTAGAGGAGAATGGTACTGTAAGCCGCTTTTGGGTCCCAGGGGCAGGCTATAAAATATGTCTAAATAGATGAGAGAGAGGAAAAAAACTTTCCTGGAAGTAAGGGCTATGGAATAAATTGGGGCTTACTTTGGAGAAGAGCTGCTTTAGGCTTGCTCCCTAAGCATGTTAAGCCTTTCGCAGGGCTCTTTTTGTAGAAAAAGCCCAGCAGGGACTCATTAGCATACTAGGCCACACCCAACAGCAAAACTCATTAGCCTATTAGGCCACACCCCTGACAGCACCACTCATTAGCACATTAGGCCACACACCCCATGTTACCAGAAGTGTGGTCATCCAGCCACACCCACCTTTCCCTTCTTATTCTGTTTACCTTGTTTGTTGTCAAAACCCAGGGCTTTTTTTGTAGCAGGAACTCCTTTGCACGATAGGCCACACACCGGCCTAATGTTGCCAATCCTAATGAGTTTCCTCTATTGGGTGTGGCCTGTTATGCTAATGAGTTCCTGCTGGGTGTGGCCGACTCAGGAGCCAGCCCGTTCCTGTGCCTTCCTGCCCAAAAATAGCCCTGCCTTTCAGGTACCACAGGATTGTGTTTTCGCTATCCAAAAGGAAAGAGTTGATCCAAAGGAGAAATTGGGGAAGGCAGCCAACACACCAGTTACAGGGCCCAGCGTTTAATTAGGGGTAACAGGTCTCAGTCTGACCAACACTTGGATGGAGGGGTTTTAGCCTATGTGGCCACCCAGTGCACTCATTATATGCAGTGCTTTGAACACCTGAACCCTGCCATGGATGCAGAAAGTAGATATAGAATGCTGGAGTAGTTTTTCATTCCTCACTTTCAGAGGCCAGGAGACCCAGATTTGAATCTCCACTTGGCCATGGAAGCCCCGCTGGGTGACCTTGAGCCAGTCACACAATCTCAGCCCAATCTACCTCACAGGGTTGTTGTGAGGATAAAATTGCAAATAGGAGAATGTTGTGAGGCACTTTACATTGGGGAGAAAAGTGGAGTATAAATGGAGTAAATAAAGCTGTGAGCGGTCCATTCCGTCATTCTTCTTGAGCCATTCCTTGCTTTAGTTGCATCTTTGCAGTGTTTTAATGTATCCCAGTCAAGTCGATTAGGCAGTCCTTTTTCTGTCCGAAGAGGAGTCCCATTATTTTCGAAAGGCATTGTCGTCTTTTACTTTTTAAGAGCAATCCCGTTTTGAAGAGTGGTTGGAATTGGAAATGGTTTGCTTCTGGTGTGTGTAGCATTTACACACACGCACACCCCACACAAGTTTTGTGTGTGCTTTAAGATCAGGACCTGGAACTTCCTCAACGCCCCTCTCCTTTTTAACATCAAAAGCTTACATAAGATTCTGTGTTCTTTGGGTTCATCCGAACAAACAGATCTCTTCTGTTTTTGGACTTTGCTTTGGACAGATACGATTACTTGCAACTTCTACGGACTACGGTGCAGTGACGACGAGCTGTCAGATAATCCCTTGATAATCTGGTAATTTGTCAATCGCTTTCACTTCTGCGTGGCGAAACTATTCTACCTTCAGTATCTACCGCTACAGGGAAAGAGGGGGAGGAAAAAGTGACCGCGCTCCCTCGCTTCTTCCAGTTCATGGGACTTTCGCTTTCATTCTCTGAGCGCAGCTGAGGAAGGAGGGCGGCGGTAAGAGAGCGGCGAGTTTCCTTAAATCCCAGGGTTGTTTTTTTCCAGGCGGCGTCTTCTAAACTTGGGCTGGAGGACATTTTAAAAGGGGGGGGGGAGGCTGGTTCACTGGTAGAACAGCTGCTTGGAGCGCAGAAGATCCCCAAATTCAATCTCTAGTATCTCTAGTCTGTGCAGGCAAAAGGATCAGGTGATCAGCGATGAGAAAGGGTCTCTTCCTGAGACTCTGGAGAGCCCCTGATCCTGAATGACCAAGAGTCTAACTCGGTATAAGGCAGTTTCGTTTCAAAGCGTTCGAAGTGAATTGCTTCTTCATCGTGTATACCAGCCCTGCTGTTACTGCTGGACTAAGTAGATTTAGCAGGTGACAAGAGAGCATTAATCTTTTATCCAGTGTTGAAAGGGGTGGTTTTTTCAAAGGATTCTTTGGAGGGGGGGGCGGATCACCTCCCTGGGATGGAAGAATGTCTTTCGTAGATGTTGTGCTGCTTGGGAACGTCAGGTTTCCTGGTCAGCGGAAAGAGGGATATTTGGCATCCTGGTTCAGAACAGGTCTTGATGTAAACTGTGTAAAGTGGTAACTTTGACGTTCTGTAAAGAAAACGTATTTGGTTGTCTTGACCCTTTCTTACATGCCCAGGGTAATGGCGACTGCCACTTTGGGGACGGGAAGGAATTTTCCTCCAGGCTAGATCGGCCCAGGGGTCCTGGAGGTTTTTCTACCTCCCTTTGGGGGTACAGCAGGGGTCACTGGAGAAGGGAAGGGGAGGGAGTTGTGAATTTCCTGCATCGTGCCGGGGGTTGGATTAGATGACCTCTGAGATCCCTTTCAGGTCTATGTTTCTATGATTCCTTGCAGAAGGAGAATATTACCTATGTATGCCTAACAAGCTGAAGAAGTGAGCAGTGACTGTTGGCAGGGTGATGTCTCTGCTTTTTATCATGCTGTTTAGGTTCGCCATTGCTTTCCTCCCAAGGAGCAGGCGTCTTTTAATTTCATGGCTGCAGTCACAGTCTGCAGTGATCTGGGATCCCAGGAACGTGAAGTCTGTCACTACTTCCACGACTTCCCCTTCTATTTGCCAAGGAGTGATGGGGCCGGATGCCATGATCTTAGTTTTTTTGATGTTGAGCTTCAAGCCCACTTTTGCGCTCTCCTCTTTTACTCTGAGCAAGAGGCTCTTTAGGTCCTCTTCACTTTCTGCCATCAAAGTGGTATCGTCTGCATATCTGAGGTTGTTGATCTTTTCCCCAGCAATCTTAATTCCCGCTTGTGATTCATCCAGGCCAGCATTTCGCATGATGTACTCTGCATATATATTAAATAAGCAAGGTGACAATATACATCCTTGTCGTACTCCTTTTCCTATGCTAAACCAATCAGTTGTTCCATATCCGGTTCTAACTGTCGCTTCTTGGCCCTTATACAGGTTTCTCAAGAGATATGTGAGGTGGTCTGGTACTCCCATCTCTTTAAGGACCTGCCATAGTTTGTTGTGATCCACACAGTCAAAAGCTTTAGCATAGTCAATGAAGCAGAAGTAGATATTTTTCTGGTACTCTCTTGCTTTCTCCATAATCCAGCGAATGTTGGCAATTTGATCTCTAGTTCCTCTACCTCTTCGAAACCCAGCTTGTACTTCTGGTAGTTCTCTATCCACGTACTGTTGAAGCCTAGCTTGTAGGATCTTGAGCATGACCTTGCTAGCGTGTGATATGAGTGCAATTGTGCGATAGTTTGGGTATACAATCAAATATCTATCATTTTTTGTCAAAGTCCTTTAATGATATATTCAAAAGGATTATTTCCAGTGTAAATGGTATAACAATACCGAATATCTTTTGCATTATTTCATGAATCCACCTCCAATATCTTTTAGTTATTTCACAATGCCACCACATATGATAAAAAGATCCTGTTTTACATTGACATTTCCAGCATACATTAGAACATTTATTGTTAGATTTCGCTATTCTATCTGGTGTTATGTACCACCTGTAAAACGTTTTGTATATATTTTGTATTTGTAATTTCAATATTTTTTCCATATCTGATCCCATTGGTCTAAATCAATATTATGACCTATATTTTGTGCCCATAATATCATATTAGATTTAACTGTCTCCTCATACATCGTATCATTGAGCATGAAGGTATAGATTCTTTTCAGACATTTTGAGTCTGGGGATGTCAAAAAATTTTCAAGCTCCATTAAGTTTTCATAGAAACCCTGGGTTTAATAATATATTCAAAAGGATTATTTCCGGGGTAAATGGTATAACAATACCTAATATATTTTGCATTATTTCATGAATCCACCGTAGCAGGCAAATGACGGTAGCAGGTGTGACTGGATTATCTGCATATCACACCTAATCCAATCATACCTGCTATTGTCATTTGCCTGCTAATGTCGTTCGGCATTTGAAATCACTCCACTTTCCAATATATAGGATCTGAGAGGACCAGGTTTGAATCTCCGCTCTGCAATGGAAGTTGGCTGGTTGACCTTGGGCCAGTCATTCTCTCTGAGCCTAACCTACCTCACAGGGTTGTTGTGAGGATGAAAGGAGGAGGGGCGAACAGTGTTGCAAGCTGCTTTGAGTTCGCATTGTGAGGAAAAAGAGGGGAATAAATATACAGATGTGTAAACAAACCTGAGCCTCTTCAGTAACTATAGTTAGTGAAAGTACATCCAATGAGGATCTGAAACTGTTTTATGGAATTGTGTTCTTACCCACAGATAGTCTCTGTGGTTTCACGTGACATAAATGGAGGCATGAAGCCTTCTCCCACAGCCACCTCAGTTTCCCTTTGATTTCTGAGAAAGGGTTTATATTTTCACCAGAGCGAGACGAGAGCAGTAAGAGCCAAGTGAGCTGGGAATGATGTTTACTGGGTGCTCTGCTTAACTGGTGTGGTACAGCAGTTAGAGTGTTGGGCTTCAAATGCCCCCCTCGGCCACTGAAGCTTGCTGGGTGACCATGGGTCTGTCACGGTGCGCCAGCCTAACCTGACTTCACAAGGTGGCTGCTGTGAGGATTAAGTAGATGAGGGGGAGAAGGATGGGGAAAGCCACTTTGGGTCCCCAATCATGGAGGAAAGCAGAATATAAATTTTTGAAAAGAAAGAAAAAACTTGGGGCACTTCTTGTCATCCAGTGGGGGGAACCTCCATGTGGAAGGAAAGAGGAGAAGAGAAGAGATTAAATTTAACTGCTACAAGTTAGAAAAGGTTACAGTTAGTATAACATTCATATGTTGACCTCTCGGCAATATGAATGTTATACTAACTGTAACCTTTTCTAACTTGTAGAATGTGTCAACTTCGTAAATATTGGATTACTTTGTGAAAGAATTACAACTAAACAGTATGTATAAGCATAATGATTTTTATTGTAACAGTACAAGATTGGTCCTTTCGGGGTTCCTGTTTCCTACATTATATTATATGCACTGTGTTTATTTTAAAATAGGAATTTTGATAAAGACTGCCTCGAAACGAACATTGAAACTCGAGGAAGTTCGTAAGCACTTCAGTGACTTGATGTCCTGACCTGTTGAAAAAAGGAATTCTGGATTAAAACAACATGGAAATGCCAATACATTATTGTCCTCAATCTGTGAATGTTTGAACTGTTGCAGCAATTTTTTGTAAATTGACCCAAGGTCACACCAGCAGCTGCATGTGGAGGAGTGGGGAATCAAACCTGTTTCTCCCAGATTAGAG